TACCGGGACACCTTCTGTATAAAGCTTGACCACTGATGTTCCGCAACCTAGTGTTCATCACACTGACCAAGTGCGCTTTCCCGAAGTGTGTGTGACAAACTCACTTACCGTTGATACACAGTTAGTGATCCCTTAAGTTAGATGTAAAGTCCGGATTTTGCGGTGCGTTAACTAGGGGTATAGCAAGAAAAAAAGCGAAACTTCCGGCTTTTTTAGACGATGAATACGGCAAAATCTGCATTGGCCGTCGTCGGCAAGTTTGCATAAGTAAAACTCGCGGGTGTTACATGCATCGTGGTATCTGCATAAATACGAAAAAAGCTCAATATGACAAGCCGAAAAAGTCATTGACATTTGTGCCGCTCCTTCGTCCACATCAAGCCATATTGGTGCATATAGTTCACGCATCACTCCCATGAACAAGCCAAGCGGCTTACGTACAGCGCCAACCCGCTCACTTTCCACGAAGACTCCCCACGGTATTCCCTGCGCAACTGCAGCCAGTGATCAGAGGGTGTAGATCTTGTACTCACCTGCTCTTCTCAAACTATCATCGGTTTCCAGGCCATCCACCATGCAAAATTTCGGTCACCTTATGACCATGGACGAGATGATAACAGATGACTCCTGTAGGCAAAACTGGACCGGACAATCTGCACACATTTCATCGAGAAATGCATCCTACTTACTTGTTTCCTCCATTTCCTCGAAATTTGCCGGGCTTTACTGATGGCCCGCTACATCTGCTTTATGACCACTCACAAGGTAATACGGTGCTAATGCACTTTTACGCACTGCTCGAACCAATTTCTTGTAGTTGTCATTTTGCGATCGTTTAATGCCTCCTTGAATGCCGTGAAGAATGAAAAACCGACAGCAGCCAGTTTCTCAGAAAGAATCCCTCTGAACCCAAAACCACAACACACCAAGTCGTGACGGTAAAACTAAAATGGGACAACTACAATCAAGGAGTAATTCAAAGAAACCACGACAAAATGAACTAGGCCATGACCCTTTTACTAATGCAGAAAAACGTTACAATCTACTGCAAAAATTTTTCTTTGCACACTACGGTTTTGGAAGAACATTCGTATGCCGGATGATCGCCTGCTTGTACGGTTAGTGGTTGATTTATAATCCGGTTATATTGTGTTGGACAACCTTTGGAATTGGATTGCACCATCAGAGAACAGCAAAAACAACGGAGGACAAGCCAGAATGGATGTGAATCGGGCCAAATTTTCAGGGGCATGACTGGGTACAGGAACCTTAAAAGTTTAGTTCGGGTCCGCTGCACTGCAACTGTCATGTGGTATTGTGCGAGACCAGCGACGCCCTTATGTTGTGCAGCAGATTAACAAAAGTGCTCCGTTTCTTGAAAGTGCGGAGGAACTCAGATCACTGTATTTCATACTAGCGAGCTTAGTGGCAGTCATCTCAGCACGGAATCACATCATATGCGCTAACACTTCAGCCCTAATTCTGTAGTTTCCGTAACAAGTAACCCTGAACTTGCGTCAGCAAAAGGTAGTCAACACGCAAACATCCATTATCTTTGCGTACTTTTGTGTCAGTGCCTCCAGGAAGCTACATTTGCTCCTGGCTTTATTGGAATATCCAGCAGCAGGAGGCCTGCGTTTTTCTATGGTAGCGATAATACTGTGCAGTCCCGACCATTGAGCAGCATGAAGAGAGGCGCGATGAAAACCATGTGGGGAAAATAAGAATAAACACAACGTCTTATAAATATCATACAAGAGATTCAGCTGGGTTCCAACTTGGTCTCCAACAAAACCAAATTGTTTTGCAAATGAGTGTATTTCACTAAGGCCAACTTCTGTTTCCAGTCGCTTGGCACAACGGATTTCAAAATCGAATGGCAACGTACTAACGAACACGGACATGCGAGGCACGGATGGCACTGTTTGGCAACTGGTATCCAATTTTAGCGAGAAACGGAGGGTGGTTAATGTGAACGTCTAGTGATGCGTTATCAGTGCACGAAGAAAAGCATGACTGGCGAGAAACTGGGCGTCAATGGTAAAATCAACATGGATGAGTATGTTTAGGGTTCCAAATGACTGAGTTTGCCGGGAGTCATTACCGCCATAAAAATCAAATCCTCCCTAATGGCTAAGGCACTACAGGTCGCAAGGTGTGAACAGCAAACCAGAACGAACTGCGGCTCTTCCAATGGGAATCTCGGCGTTTGCAAGGTGGAACGCGATGAAAATGAAGCACTCATTGGCTTTCTGGGGGAGTAAAAAATGGTCAAAATTATTGCGTTAGTTGTATCGTGGCTACTTCCTAGACGCGAATGAGTTGTGGCATATCAGGTTGGCCAAAAGCTTGGATGAGACTCCCATACGTACCTGATTCAGAAAGCGTTTGCGGTAGATACGGTTGTGAACAAGCCAAGGAAAGGAATTCAGGCCATGTACCTGAAGCACCAGATAGGATGGAGCTCTTCAGGGATATGTGACGAGCTGTGGACAGGCCTTTCTATCGGGTGTGATAGTTAGGTTACCTTCAGCATCGTTTCTTACCAGGCCGCGCACATAGATATCTTCTCTAAGACAGCTGGAGAAAGTGAAGGCAGTGAGCATCTAATCAGTTTTAGCCAGCCACATTCGTATAGATGGAAATTACCAGTATAAAATAAAAGGATCTTTTAGAAGCGCAGCACGCGTTTCGGACAAAATTGAGTGTCCACCAGGGGGACTATTGAAGGACCATCGAGGACTATCGAGTCCTTGGACCCAGAAGAGTATGAAATTAAGTCAGAAAAAACATAGAATAGTGCTACTTCGTCCATTCAGCTTTTGCAGATTGTCGTCGGGTGTTTGAGGTGATCAGTCCACACCCCTTGTCGGCTTATCTACAGTCGAGTGGCCCAAAGCATGCTCACGGGAATTACAAGCGTGAGGGACCAACGAGACAGGTTCCACAAAGAACCTTGCCGATAGACGGGACGACGCCAAACCAGATTTCATCCGCGGGAGCGCCTCTAACAGGATGCGACTACGTGTAGGTTCAGTGAGGGGCAGAGGAAACTGGTTTCCACCGCAGTAGAAGATATCCTAGGTGTTTATCGAGACGCATTCTTCGCCGGCGCAGCGAAGTGCTCCATGGGAATAACACTGACTCACAAGGGTGGAGCAAGCATACAACGGCCGACAGACACATCGTACCAGCTGAGTCACAAAGCTTCAGACAGAACAAATTTCTGGACGCCTCTAACCTCGGCTGCACTGCGGAGACCCCATGAGATGCTCCGCGGCAGGCCCAAGCCACGCATGCACTATGACCGCGACACGATCTACAAGTCGATGATGCTATTGCAAGCGGACGCTGTACTTCGAAGTTACGTCAGCAGGCACCAAGGAAGAGGTTTTTGTGCGGAGTCCGAAAGAACCTGTTTTCTCGCTGACCGTTAAGCCCTGAATCAGCCAGTAAGCTTGGCTTGCAAGTGATTGGTCAAAGTTTGGATTGCTGGATGGCTCCACATCAAGTCAAGTACCTATTGGTTGGAATATGTACCTAACGATCACTCCCAGCATCCGCTGAATACTAGTTGCTCGCACACTTGAAACAACGCGTTGTACATGATTGCTGATCAATCTTGTGTTTTACGCATGCTGTTATTTCTGTTTCCAACCCGCTCTGTATTAATGAACAGCTTAACCTAAGCTAAGGACGAGGGACTCATCGGATGCCATGTTTCTCGACTTCTCATTGAGTCGAGTCTAATACGTCCCACTGCTTCACAAACTCGAGTTCTACGGGATTCAGGGAGAAATTCTACACTGGATTGGGGCGATCTCATCGGACAAAACATTCCGAGTGAAACTAGGCTCGACTTAGTGCCGGTATCCATTGGAGTTCCTCAAGGCTACTTTTTGGAACCACTACTGTTTCTGATCTGCGTCAGTGACCTTCTAGACGTTCCTTAAGGTCCATATCTACTTTTTGCAGATAATTTGAAATCTTTGGGTTTAAACGCCCTCTAAATGAATGTAGCCTCTGCAAAGAAGTGTCCGTTGGACTGGCTCCTTCCTCTAAATGACGAAAATCTATCGATTTGTCATTCGAAGAGGCTCAGCAAACGCCTTTGTCGTGCGTGGTGAGGATGGACGAGAAGACATCATGAAGAGAGTTGCCAAAAAAAATTGGGCTAATGGCTCCCTTCAATCGTCTTTCTCAATGCACCATGAGAAATCGGTTCAGAGGGCAATCGCCGTTCTACGGATGATTCAGTACATGTTCTCTTGTATCACTCGCATGGACTTCCAAGCAATTTATGGGGCCCACATCAGACCGCTCCTCGAATATGCCAACCAGGCTGTCTACTCAGGATGCAAGGACATAATCCTCATTGAGCGTGTCTAACAAGCTTTCACGAATTCGTAAAAGCCTTAAAGTGGTTGCCGGTCTTAAATCCGTGAACTATGAAACGCGTCTCTTGTTGCTTGACCTCTTTCCTTTGGAATATCGTCGCCTCTGAGGAGACTAATACTTACTTATGCCCTGTTTGAACAAGGCTCGGCCAACAGGTTTTTCACCGTTGACTCGACTAACACACGGTGGGGACATGGCAGAAAGATTTTCAAGCTCAGGGCTCATACTTCTCTTAGGCAAGTTTTTCTGATTTCGGGTAGTTGGTGTGTGGAATAACCCTCCTCCAGTGGCTATGCACGCTCCATCTAGGACTCAGCTCAAAGCTCGCTTAGACGCTTTTTGATGAGAGTCCTCCCTCTGGCAAGCTTACTGTCCCGCGATGAGAACTTAAAAAGCAGTGGTACACCATTTTTGTGTCTTTCAGGTTAATGGCAGCCGGTGAACAACAAGTACACAACCGACCCAGGAAACTTGGGTGAAAGCCTCTATCTTGTGTATCAATCCGTGGAACGCTAGCTTGAGAATCAGACTGAGCACACTGCCAAAGCACAAACGCCGGTCCACTGGAACAATGCATTTTTCTACAGATGGAATCAAACATGTTACGTAAGCTGACTCAGGATCTCATCCCCATCTTTGAATACTCCTTGTTGGAGGCCAACCGGATCATAAGCTGTAGAGAAGAAATCACTATACACATGCAGTCACGAACATTCGAGGATTGGAATGATATCATTACACATTGCCACAGAACGTGACTTCTCATTTCTTTGGTTGAACGAAGTGATCAGGTTCAAGCCGCTTGAGGTTGCCGATTCTTCTGTCCTTTTCGGATGACTGTCAGTTGTTTATTCACTCCTTATTTCGATACGGTGATCCTGCCTTTTACAATTCAGAGTAAGGCTCTCAAAGAGCTCCCTTGGATTAAGTCAGGCTCGCCAATTGGGCCAAATTTCACTTGGGAATCTCTGTCAGACTCACATGACGTGGCCCTCCTCAGGTTTCTTAAGGTTCCTGAAGCCTCCATGTCATGGGGTCTACCGTGGAACGTGTGTTAGGGAAATGAGGGGAAACAGACTACCAGTCATCATGGTGAGGAAAACAAATTAGTCGCTAACTCGATCAGTCCAACCTTCGTTAGTCCGCTCAAACAAACGAACGAGTCGGGTTTTGTGTCAAGTGACAAGTGACTTTTTTTTACCGTGTCCACACCCCTCGGAAAATGCTCATCGGTGATGGGTGTGAACTGGCCACTGTCTGAAAAAGAAACAACATCTAGCTATTAGCTGTCGGTTGTGACTGGTATTGTACTATCACTTTTTGTTCGCTACTGCTCCCCGCACACCTGGTCTCAGCCAGGTGAGCTGTCCACCATTCCACTGGTATGAACTCTTGCCATATTTGGGACTGCGTCACCACACACCAATCCTGTGCGTTTTTACCTACCCAGCGTTTGCGCTGTAGACATATCCATTTAGAATCCAACTAATTCATCCTTTGTGGTTGCATCCGAGACCTGTCTGACTTGGCGAATCACATCCCCTTTGCGATCGCAAATGCGTTGGTTCATCCACCTTCCTCACTTTTCCTCCTTATATTTGGAGTGTATGGGACCACGCGGTATGTGCCCAGTTACCGCTGCAGCCCACCCCGCCTGCCCTTGAATAACCTGCGTAGCCTATCTTTCAGCCTTCTATTAAGTCTCGATTGCCCGTTCCCTTGTGGGCTGTATGCAGTTCCGTTATTCAGACACACACCGTGTGCCGACCTACCGCGGTTCCAGCTACAACAGATCCGTTCACCGGGGATAAGCGGAATAATGGAATGTGAGCCATTCGTCAAATGCGATGATCTAATCAGCTCATTGACGTCGAATGGTTCTCGTTCTCCTGTATGGCAGGGAATGACGGCACTACATAGTTAAATCGACAGCCGTTGACTACGTCACAGCCATATCTGTCAGGGTCATCAACCATTGGTTGTCTCCTCTAGAGGTCCCTAAGCGATGATGTTGACTGGTTGTCATGATTTTTGTGTGCTTATTTTTATATAAATCGACATTGACTACGTCACAGCCATATCTGTCAGGGTCATCAACCATTGGTTGTCTCCTCTAGAGGTCCCTAAGCGATGATGTTGATTGACTGTCATGATTTTTGTGTGCTTATTTTTATACTTACCACATATACTCGTACTGAACCTTCGTATGTACATTTCAGCTCATGTACGCTTGTTCTTAGACAAGTAAAACGTTGCTTATCCTCGAAAACCTGGACTCTGTTCTAACTCGTTCTCGGAC